TCTGGTCACTAACACAGACACATGGTACTTACTTTCTGGTCACTAACACAGACACATGGTACTTACTTTCTGGTCACTAACACAGACACATGGTACTTACTTTCTGGTCACTAACACAGACACATGGTCAGTGTTTCCGCCAGGAATTTGTTTGAGGGGGGGACACCAACGTACCCCAGAAAAAAAGAAATCACACGTTTATTGCAGTGATTTTTGTTAATACTTTTCACGAGGAGTTAGTGGACATGTGTGCCTTTAATATGAGCGGCCTTTGTGGGAATGGTTATATTTAAAGTATTAGAGTAAAATGAGTTTGTAAAACACCTGCGGAGCTGTAGTTCTGAGCGGAGCCAGAGCAGAGCCAGAGGTCTACAGAGATCAGAGAAGTATTTGGTACTGGCTCACTCAGATTCAGAGGAGGAAGACACGCAGGTGTCCAGTGAAGCAGACACAGACATTATTAGTGACAGGAGTCCGCGCCATAATAGTCCACAGTCAGCCACAGTTTACGTCCTCCGTGTGGCCCCGCGGTAAAGAGGTCCGGCTTTTCGGAGTCAGCGGTAAAGCGGTCCGCACATTAAAAGCGGATAGCCGCTTTATGCTGTTAATTACAGTAACATTGGAAAGAGAAGCCGCGGGGATGAGCCGCCACAATGCACTGTTTAACATAAAGCGGCCACCCGCTTTTAATGTGCGGACCTCTTTACCGCTGACTCCGAAAACCCGGGCCTCTTTACCGCGGTGTGTGGCCGCAATGGAAACATTCTGCGAACACCAGACAGGAGACGTGGTGAAGGGGACAGGGGGATCATAACACCGGGCATATGGGTGAATGCAGCCGCGGAAGAAAACACACCGCTAATCTGCCTTTACGGACGGCGATGATGATGATGAAGGCAGAGAGGAAGAAAATCCATAGAAGTGGATCAGAAATGTTGAAGAGCCTGTTGTTTATTGAAATAGTCTCTCAGGTCTCTCTCTGGTCTCTCTCTCTGGTCTCTCTCGCTGATCTCTCTCTGGTCTCTCTCTGGTCTCTCTCTAGTCTCGATCTGGTCTCTCTTTAGTCTCTCTATGGTCTCTCTTTAGTCTCTCACTCTGATCTCTCTCCGGTCTCTCTCTGGTCATTCTCTCTAGTCCCTCTGGTCTCTCTCTGGTCTCTGTCTAGTCTCTCTCTACTCTCCCTGTGGTCTCTCTTCTCATATCATTAATGCCTGTTTATTAGCCTGTGTTTGTCTCCCTCTGGTGGACATGTTGCGGTAGTGCTATCCGTCTGTATAAACTCCGATAAGTCCTAAAACCCGCTTGTATCACGCAGGATGACGTCACAGTGAGTCACGTGAAACGCTGAAACAGTTACACCGCAGAAACAAACTCAAATGCCCAGAAAACGCCGCTGATCGCTGTGTACTTAATTCACATTGTCACACATGGTACTTACTTTCTGGTCACACACTTTATTTGGTCTTTCCCTGGTGTTTATCTGGTCTTTCTCTGGTTTCTCTTTCTGGTCTCTGTCTGGTCCCTCTCTGGTTTCTCTTTCTGGTCTCTCTCTGGTGGTCTCTCTTTCAGGTCTCTCTCCCTCTGGCCTCTCTCTGGTCTCTCTCTGGTCTCTCTCTAGTCTCTCTCTAGTCTCTCTCTGGTCACCCTCTGGTCTCCCTCTAGTCTCTCTCTTGTCTCTCTCTGGTCTCTCTCTGGCCTCTCTCTAGTCTCTCTCTAGTCTCTCTCTGGTCACCCTCTGGTCTCCCTCTAGTCTCTCTCTGGTCTCTCTCTGGTCACCCTCTGGTCTCTCTCTGGTCTCTCTCTGGTCTCTCTCTGGTCTCTCTCTGGTCTCTCTCTGGTCCCTCTCTGGTTTCTCTTTCTGGTCTCTCTTTCAGGTCTCTCTCCCTCTGGTCTCTCTCTGGTCTCTCTCTGGCCTCTCTCTAGTCTCTCTCTAGTCTCTCTCTGGTCACCCTCTGGTCTCTCTCTGGTCTCTCTCTGGTCTCTCTCTGGTCTCTCTCCGGTCTCTCTCTGGTCTCTCTCTGGTCTCTCTCTGGTCTCTCTCTGGTCACCCTCTGGTCTCTCTCTGGTCTCTCTCTGGTCTCTCTCTGGTCTCTCTCTGGTCTCTCTCTGGTCTCTCTCTCTGGTCTCTCTCTGGTCTCTCTCTGGTCTCTCTCTGGTCTCTCTCTGGTCTCTCTCTGGTCTCTCTCTGGTCTCTCTCACTGGTCTCTCTCACTGGTCTCTCTCACTGGTCTCTCCTTGGTCTGTCTCTCTCAGGTCTCTCTCTGGTCTCTCCCTCTGGTCTCTCTCTCTGGTCTCTCTCGCTGATCTCTCTCTGGTCTCTCTCTAGTCTCGATCTGGTCTCTCTTTAGTCTCTCTATGGTCTCTCTTTAGTCTCTCACTCTGATCTCTCTCCGGTCTCTCTCTGGTCATTCTCTCTAGTCCCTCTGGTCTCTCTCTGGTCTCTGTCTAGTCTCTCTCTACTCTCTCTGTGGTCTCTCTTCTCATATCATTAATGCCTGTTTATTAGCCTGTGTTTGTCTCCCTCTGGTGGACATGTTGCGGTAGTGCTATCCGTCTGTATAAACTCCGATAAGTCCTAAAACCCGCTTGTATCACGCAGGATGACGTCACAGTGAGTCACGTGAAACGCTGAAACAGTTACACCGCAGAAACAAACTCAAATGCCCAGAAAACGCCGCTGATCGCTGTGTACTTAATTCACATTGTCACACATGGTACTTACTTTCTGGTCACACACTTTATTTGGTCTTTCCCTGGTGTTTATCTGGTCTTTCTCTGGTTTCTCTTTCTGGTCTCTGTCTGGTCCCTCTCTGGTTTCTCTTTCTGGTCTCTCTCTGGTGGTCTCTCTTTCAGGTCTCTCTCCCTCTGGCCTCTCTCTGGTCTCTCTCTGGTCTCTCTCTAGTCTCTCTCTAGTCTCTCTCTGGTCACCCTCTGGTCTCCCTCTAGTCTCTCTCTTGTCTCTCTCTGGTCTCTCTCTGGCCTCTCTCTAGTCTCTCTCTAGTCTCTCTCTGGTCACCCTCTGGTCTCCCTCTAGTCTCTCTCTGGTCTCTCTCTGGTCACCCTCTGGTCTCTCTCTGGTCTCTCTCTGGTCTCTCTCTGGTCTCTCTCTGGTCTCTCTCTGGTCTCTCTCTGGTCTCTCTCTGGTCTCTCTCTGGTCTCTGTCTGGTCCCTCTCTGGTTTCTCTTTCTGGTCTCTCTTTCAGGTCTCTCTCCCTCTGGTCTCTCTCTGGTCTCTCTCTGGCCTCTCTCTAGTCTCTCTCTAGTCTCTCTCTGGTCACCCTCTGGTCTCCCTCTAGTCTCTCTCTGGTCTCTCTCTGGTCACCCTCTGGTCTCTCTCTGGTCTCTCTCTGGTCTCTCTCTGGTCTCTCTCCGGTCTCTCTCTGGTCTCTCTCTGGTCTCTCTCTGGTCTCTCTCTGGTCTCTCTCTGGTCTCTCTCTGGTCACCCTCTGGTCTCTCTCTGGTCTCTCTCTGGTCTCTCTCTGGTCTCTCTCTGGTCTCTCTCCGGTCTCTCTCCGGTCTCTCTCTGGTCTCTCTCTGGTCTCTCTCTGGTCTCTCTCTGGTCACCCTCTGGTCTCTCTCTGGTCTCTCTCTGGTCTCTCTCTGGTCTCTCTCTGGTCTCTCTCTGGTCTCTCTCTGGTCTCTCTCTGGTCTCTCTCTGGCTCTCTTTGGTCTCTCTCTGGTCTCTCTCTGGTCTCTCTCTGGTCTCTCTCTGGTCTCTCTCTGGTCTCTCTCTGGTCTCTTTCTAGTCTCTCTATGGTCTTTCTTCCCATATCATTAATGCCTGTTTATTAGCGTGTGTTTGTCTCCCTCTGGCGGACATGAGGCGTTAGTGCAGCCCATTTGTATAAACTCTTATAACTCCTAAAACACGCGCTAAAACCCACTTGAATCACGCATGATGACGTCACAGTGCGTCAAATTTAACGCTGAAGCCGTTTTACCGCAGAAACAAAGGCAAATGCCCAGAAAACGCCGCTGATCGCCGTGTACTTCACATTGTTTGCGTCCCGAGCGGAGGGATACGTCACAACTCTAGACCGAGGTGCTGCGTGTGAACCATCCGCGTCACATAGACCCTCACGTTGGCCTGGAGACCGGGCTCGTGGCGGAGAACAGCGTCGTTTAATGACGTTACCGGGATCACATGGTGGTCGTGGCGAAAGCTCGTGTTTTTGACTCTGTTTTTGAGGCACGTAGAGCGGCGTAACGTCGCTCTCTCTCGCCCTCAGCGAGTCCCTGGATGTGTTTCTGCAGACGTGGAGCTGCTATGCCAGGACTGCACTGAGAAGTCCGCACTGAGACTGTAGAGTAGGAAGTGTTTAAGATAAGATAAGATAAGATAAGCTTTATTTATCTCACAGAGGAGAAATTTACATGTCACATTTGGCATTTTCCACCAGTCTCTCTCTCTGGTCTCTCTCTCTGGTCTCTCTCTCTGGTCTCTCTCTCTGGTCTCGCTCCCTGGTCTCGCTCCCTGGTCCCTCCCTATTGTTCAATACCATGTGTTTATTATTATTTGTGTTTGAACTGTTTGATTCTCTGATCTGTGTTTGAGAATCGACAATTATGTACAGTTCATTCATTTTCTTCCCCTTAATCCATTTCTGGGTCGGAGGTGGCAGTCAGAGCACCAGCCCCTCACTGATCATCCTGCAGGAGCTGAGTCCACAGGAGCTGAGATCTCTCTCTCTGGTCTCTCTCTGGTCTCTCTCTCTGGTCTCTCTCTCTGGTCTCTCTCTGGTCTCTCTCTGGTCTCTCTCTGGTCTCTCTCTGGTCTCTCTCTGGTCTCTCTCTGGTCTCTCTCTCCTCTAGTCCCTCTCACTGGTCTCTCTCTCTCTGGTCTCTCCCTCATCTCTCTCTCTATCTCTGGGCCGTGAGAGTGCGGTCGTGGCTGCGCAGCTCCAGCATTCTGGTCCCTCTCACGGAGCTCCACACCGGGACCAGGCGCCTTCTCTTTTCCCCCCAGTAACACAGCGCGTGCGCCCGCAGAGCTCCGCAGCCATGCCCGGGATGATGGACAAGGGCTCCGAGTACCTGGGCTCCAAGGCCCGGTCCAACGGCACCAAGAGTCCGTCCACAGCGTCCAACGGACACTGCTCCGAGGACAGCAGCGACGACGAGCACGGTGGGTAGCCTCGAACACACGCCGCGGAGCCTCGAACACGCGTGAAAACAGGGCAATAACGAGACGGAACGGGATAGAAACGAGACCAAACGAGACCAACTGAAGCCGCAGATGGATGATATGAAGTCGGCACAAACAGAGGGCGACGTGAGCGGGTAGCCTCGAACACACGGACAGCAGCTGGAGCCCGGAACACACACGCCGCGGAGCCTCGAACACGCGTGAAAACAGTGCAATAACGAGGCGAGCTGAAGCCGCAGACGCATATATAACACACACACACATGACTCCACATGGTTTCACACGGACCATGTGAGCTCTGGGTTCGACACGTCTCTGGTTGGATTATGGTATAAACACAGATTAAAACCAGCTGTGATTACTCTTAAATATGAGTATTCCCGTGTGTATACTCGTGCGTGTACGTATCTATGCGCGTACGGCTGGAGTCGGTACAAACGGAGGGCGACGTGAGCGGGTAGCCTCGATCACACTGACAGCAGCTGGAGCCTCGAACACACTGACAGCAGCTGGAGCCTCGAACACACGGACAGCAGCTGGAGCCTCGAACACACTGACAGCAGCTGGAGCCTCGATCACACTGACAGCAGCTGGAGCCTCGAACACACTGACAGCAGCTGGAGCCTCGATCACACTGACAGCAGCTGGAGCCTCGATCACACTGACAGCAGCTGGAGCCTCGATCACACTGACAGCAGCTGGAGCCTCGAACACACTGACAGCAGCTGGAGCCTCGAACACACTGACAGCAGCTGGAGCCTCGAACACACTGACAGCAGCTGGAGCCTCGATCACACTGACAGCAGCTGGAGCCTCGAACACACTGACAGCAGCTGGAGCCTCGAACACACTGACAGCAGCTGGAGCCTCGAACTGGAGCCTCGAACACACTGACAGCAGCTGGAGCCTCGATCACACTGACAGCAGCTGGAGCCTCGATCACACTGACAGCAGCTGGAGCCTCGAACACACTGACAGCAGCTGGAGCCTCGATCACACTGACAGCAGCTGGAGCCTCGATCACATGTGCGTGTGTCAGAACGCCTCGAACAAGGAGCGTGTGAAAGTTTAAAGCGCGGGTCCCTGACTTTCTAACACACACCTCGGGCTGCTCTGTGTAATAATGTAATACATGCTTTTACCTGTGTGAGTTCCACTGACTAAAATTGTGTGTGTGTGTGTGTTTCTCTCCTTGTGTGTCTCTGTGTGTGTGTGTGTGTTTCAGATGTGGGGATGCGTGTCGGCTCAGACTTCCAGGCCTCGATCCCGGACTTTGAACCTGGAAGAAAATACTCAGAGAAAGAGAGCGGAGGAATGTTAGTGTGGTCTCCATATCACTGCATCTCTGACTCCAAACGTGAGGACCACACTCTGTCTCTCTGGTCTCTCTCTCTGGTCTCTCTCTGGTCTCTCTCTCTGGTCTCTCTCTGGTCTCTCTCTGGTCTCTCTCTCTGGTCTCTCTCTGGTCTCTCTCTCTGGTCTCTCTCTGGTCTCTCTCTCTGGTCTCTCTCTGGTCTCTCTCTGGTCTCTCTCTGGTCTCTCTCTCTGGTCTCTCTCTGGTCTCTCTCTGGTCTCTCTCTGGTCTCTCTCTGGTCTCTCTGGTCTCTCTCTCTCTAGTCTCTCTCTCTCTGGTCTCTCTCTGGTCTCTCTCTCTCTAGTCTCTCTCTCTCTGGTCTCTCTCTCTAGTCTCTCTCTCTCTGGTCTCTCTCTCTGGAGAATCACATCAATTTGTACTAACCTTCTCCATGACTGACTCCATAAGGTTCTCATGTCTCTGTTCACAGTCGACGAGTACATCGCCATCGCCAAAGAGAAGCACGGATACAATGTGGAGCAGGTACCAGCGAGCGAGACCAGAGAGTGACCAGAGAGTGACCAGAGAGTGACCAGAGAGTGACCAGAGAGTGACCAGAGAGTGACCAGAGAGTGAGACCAGAGAGTGAGACCAGAGAGAGAGACCAGAGTGAGACCAGAGTGAGACCAGAGTGAGACCAGAGAGAGGCCAGAGTGAGACCAGAGTGAGACCAGAGTGAGAGACCAGAGAGAGACCAGAGAGAGACCAGAGAGAGACCAGAGAGAGACCAGAGAGAGACCAGAGAGAGACCAGAGAGTGACCAGAGAGTGACCAGAGAGAGAGACCAGAGAGAGAGACCAGAGAGAGAGACCAGAGAGAGAGACCAGAGAGAGAGACCAGAGAGAGAGACCAGAGAGAGACCAGAGAGTGACCAGAGAGTGACCAGAGAGTGACCAGAGAGTGAGACCAGAGAGAGACCAGAGAGTGACCAGAGAGAGAGAGACCAGAGAGAGAGAGAAAGAGAGAGAGACCAGAGAGAGAGACCAGAGAGAGAGACCAGAGAGAGAGACCAGAGAGAGAGACCAGAGAGAGAGACCAGAGAGAGACCAGAGAGAGAGAGACCAGAATGAGATAGATCCAAAACATTGTAAACTTTATTCAAAGATGTATTAAACCAGGTCTAAACCCGGTCTAAACCAGGTCCAAACCCAGTCTAAATCCGGTCCAAACCCAGTCTAAACCCGGTCTAAACCCTCAGGCCCTGGGAATGCTGTTCTGGCACAAACACAACATAGAGAAGTCTTTGGCAGATTTGCCGAACTTCACCCCGTTTCCCGACGAGTGGACGGTGGAGGACAAGGTCCTGTTCGAGCAGGCCTTCAGCTTCCACGGCAAGAGCTTCCACCGCATCCAGCAGATGGTGACTATACTCTACACTACACTACTATACTCACAATACTACTGACTATACTACAATACTACAGACTATACTACTGACTATACTACTGACTATACTACCAGGCCTTCAGCTTCCACGGCAAGAGCTTCCACCGCATCCAGCAGATGGTGACTATACTCTACACTACACTACTATACTCACAATACTACTGACTATACTACAATACTACAGACTATACTACAATACTACTGACAATACTACCAGGCCTTCACTTTCAACCGCATCCAGCAGATGGTGACTATACTCTACACTACACTACTATACTCACAATACTACTGACTATACTACAGTACTACAGACTATACTACAATACTACTGACAATACTACCAGACGTTCACCTTCCACCGCATTCAGCAGATGGTGACTATACTCTACACTACTACTGACTATACTACAATACTACTGGCAATACTACCAGGCCTTCACTTTCAACTGCATCCAGCAGATGGTGACTTTACTCTACAATACTACTGACAATACTACAGACTATACTACTGACAATACTACAGACTATACTACTGACAATACTACAGTACTACAATACCACAGTACTACAGACTATACTACTGACAACACTACCAGACGTTCACCTTCCACTGCATCGATCAGATGGGTAGTACACTCTAAACTATGCTACTGGACTCACTATTCTTATACACTACTATATTAACAATACTCAAAATACTACAATACTCACTGTATTCTCTGTAGTATTCTCCATGTAGTATAGTGAGTATAGTAGTATGGTGACTATTGTTAGTACTACCCATACTCACAACACTACTGTCAGTAGTACCATTACTGCTCCTACCTCCTACCCATATTACTGAGTAAACAGCTGCTGTTCTGGTCGCGTGCAGTAAGTTTAAAAGTACTGTGTGTACTTTCAGTTACCGGACAAGTCCATCTCGTCTCTGGTCAAGTACTATTACTCCTGGAAGAAGACTCGTTCTAGAACCAGCCTCATGGACCGACAGGCACGCAAGCTAGCCAGCCGCGCCAACCAGGAGGACAGGTACTACTGCTTCTACTGCTGCTGCTACTGCTGCTACTGCTGCTACTGCTACTACTGCTGCTACTGCTGCTACTGCTGCTACTACTACTGCTGCTACTGCTACTACTGCTGCTACTGCTACTACTGCTGCTACTACTGCTACTGCTTCTACTGCTGCTGCTACTGCTGCTACTACTGCTGCTACTACTGCTACTACTGCTGCTACTGCTACTACTGCTACTACTGCTACTACTGCTACTGCTGCTACTGCTGCTACTGCTGCTACTGCTGCTACTGCTGCTACTACTACTGCTACTGCTACTACTGCTGCTACTACTGCTACTGCTACTGCTGCTACTGCTGCTACTACTGCTTCTACTGCTGCTACTACTGCTACTGCTGCTGCTACTACTGCTACTACTGCTTCTACTGCTGCTACTGCTGCTGCTACTACTGCTACTACTGCTTCTACTGCTGCTACTGCTGCTGCTACTACTGCTACTACTGCTTCTACTGCTGCTACTGCTGCTGCTACAGATCCCAGAGAGACACCAGAGACAGGGTGGAAATAGATTTCTCATCAGTGATATGTTTGTTTTAGTGATGAGGAAATGGAGGAGGCCAACCCCATCGAAGCCAACGACAGCGACTACGACCCCACCAAGGAAACCAAGAAAGAGGTAACGCACACACACACACACGCACACGCACACGCACACGCACACACACACACACACACACACACACACACACACACACACACACACACACACACACACACACACACACACACACACACACACACACACACACACACACAGAAAACAACCTATTTTACATTTAACATTGATTGTAATTGAATAATGTGGGTCCCAGTATTGACCCTTGTGGTGCCCCACAAACAACAAATCCTTACACATCAGGTGCGATAAAAGAGTGACGTAGCTAACTGGATTTTCAGACAAAATGTATCTTTTTAATACACTTGTCTTGTGTATATATGTATGAACATGTAAATACTTGTCCTGTTTGTCCAGAACCTGCCTGAGGCCCCTCCTCCCAGCACCAAACTGGCCCTGGGTCGCAGAGAGCACCAGACACTTACACACCGCCACCACCAGAGGGCGCGCTGCCGGCCGCCCAAAGGAATGTACCTGACGCAGGACGACGTGTTAGCGGTGTCCTGCTCCGTGACCGCGGCCAACAGTCTGCTGAGGGGTCTGGACCTGGAGCTGGTGTCGCTGAAGAGACAGGTGAGACTACTGCTACTACAAGTACTGCTACTGCTACTACAAGTACTGCTACTGCTACTACAGGTACTGCTATGTCCTCTACTGCTACTATAAGTACTGCAACTGCTATGTCCTCTACTGCTACTAAAAGTACTCCATCCATCCATCCATTTTCTTCCGCTTTATCCGTTGCCGGGTCGCGGTGGCAGCAGTCTAAGCAGAGACGCCCAGACTTCCCTATCCACACACACCTCCTCCAGCTCGTCCGGGGGGACCCCAAGGCGTTCCCAGGCCAGCTGAGAGACATAGTCCCTCCAGCGTGTCCTGGGTCTTCCGCGGGGCCTCCTCCCGGTGGGACGTGCCCGGAACACCTCCCCAGGGAGGCGTCCAGGAGGCATCCTGAACAGATGCCCGAGCCACCTCAACTGGTTCCTCTCGACGTGGAGAAGCAGCGGCTCTACTCCGAGCTCCTCCCGTGTGACTGAGCTCCTCACCCTATCTCTAAGGGAGCAGCCACTCTGCGGAGGAAGCTCATTTCGACCGCTTGTATCCGCGATCTCGTTCTTTCGGTCATTACCCAAAGCTCATGACCATAGGTGAGGGAGGGAACGAAGATTGACCGGTAAATCGAGAGCTTTGCCTTTCGGCTCAGCTCCCTCTTTACCACAACGGTCCGATACAGAGACCGCATCACTGCGCACGCTGCACCGATCCGCCTGTCAATCTCACGCTCCATCCTTCCCTCACTCGTGAACAAGACCCCGAGATACTTGAACTCCTCCACTTGAGGAAGGACCTCTCCACCCACCTGGAGAGGGCAAGGCACCTTTTTCCGGTCGAGCACCATGGCCTCAGATTTGGAGGTGCTGATTCTCATCCCAGCCGCTTCACACTCGGCTGGTTCGTTGGAGCCAACAGGACAACATCGTCCGCAAACAGCAGAGATGAAATCCTGTGGTCTCCGAACCGGACCCCCTCCGGCCCCTGGCTGCGCCTAGATATTCTGTCCATAAATACAGTGAACAGAACCGGTGACAAAGGGCAGCCTTGGCGGAGGCCAACATGCACCGGGAACAGGTCTGACTTACTGCCGGCAATGCGAACACAGCTCTGGCTCCGGTCATACAGGGACCGGACGGCCCTCAGCAGAGGACCCCGGACCCCGTACTCCCGGAGAACCCCCCAAAGGACACCCCGGGGAACACGGTCAAACGCCTTCTCCAAATCCACAAAGCACATGTGGACAGGTTGGGCGAACTCCCATGAACCCTCGAGTATCCGATGGAGAGTATAGAGCTGGTCCAGTGTTCCGCGACCGGGACGAAAACCACACTGCTCCTCCTGAATCCAAGATTCGACCATCGGCCGTAGCCTCCTCTCCAGTACCTTGGAGTAGACCTTACCGGGGAGGCTGAGGAGTGTGATCCCACGATAATTGGAACACACCCTCCGGTCCCCCTTCTTGTAGAGAGGGACCACCACCCCGGTCTGCCACTCCATTGGCACCGCCCCCGATCGCCACGCGATGCTGCAGAGACGTGTCAGCCAAGACAGGCCCACAACATCCAGAGACTTTAGATAATCAGGACGGATCTCATCCACTCCCGGCGCCTTGCCACCATGGAGGCTGCCAACCACCCTGGTGACCTCGGCCAGGGAGATGGAAGTATCCGCCCCAACATCCTCAGCCTCTGCCTCCGGAGCGGAGGACGTGACGGGGGGATTGAGGAGAACCTCGAAGTATTCCTTCCACCGCCCGACAATATCCCCAGTCGAGGTCAGCAGCTCTCCACCCGCACCGTACACGGCGTTGGCAAAGAACTGCTTCCCCCTCCTGAGGCGCCGGACGGTTTGCCAGAACCTCTTCGAGGCCGACCGATAGTCATGCTCCATGGACTCTCCGAACTCCTCCCAGTCCCGGGTTTTTGCCTCTGCAACAGCCCGGGCCGCGGCACGTTTGGCCTGCCGGTACTGGACAGCTGCCTCAGGAGTCCCACGAACCATCGTGGCTCGATAGGACTCCTTCTTCAGCCTGACAGCATCCCTTACTGCGACCACTTGCGACCACAGCTACGAGCCGCCGCATCGGCGATAGAGGAAGAGAACATGGTCCACTCGGACTCAATATCCCCCTCCTCCGCCGGGACCTGGGAGAAGCTCTCCCGGAGGTGTGAGTTGAAAGTTCGTCTGACAGGGGTCTCAGCGAGACGTTCCCAGCAGACCCTCACTATACGCTTGGGTCTGCCAGGTCTGACCGGCTTCTTCCCCTGCCAGCGGATCCAACTCACGACCAGGTGATGATCGGTTGACAGCTCCGCCCCTCTCTTTACCCGAGTGTCCGAGACACGCGGCCGAAGGTCAGATGATACGACAACAAAGTCGATCATCGACCTCCGGCCTAGGGTGTCCTGGTGCCACGTGCACTGGTGGACACCCTTGTGCTCGAACATGGTGTTCGTGATGGACAAACTGTGACTGGCACAGAAGTCCAACAACTGAACACCGCTCGGGTTCAGATCAGGGGGGCCGCTCTTCCCGATCACCCCTCTCCAAGTGTCACTGGCGTTTCCCACATGGGCGTTGAAGTCCCCCAGGAGAATAACGGAGTCCCCGGGCGGTGCACTGTCCAGTACCCCTCCCAAGGACTACTACAAGTACTGCTACTGCTAAGTTGTCTACTGCTACTTCTATTACACGTACTGCTAGTACAAGTACTGCTACTACAAGTACTGATACTGTGACCACTACTACTGCTACTACAAGTACTGATACTGAAAAGTCCTCTACTACTACTGCTACTACTGCTACTTCTACAGTCTTCTGAGAGGACTGGACCTGGTGTCGCTGAAGACACAGAGAGAGACCAGAGAGAGACCAGAGAGAGAGAGACCAGAGAGAGAGACCAGAGAGAGAGAGACCAGAGAGAGAGAGACCAGAGAGAGAGAGACCAGAGAGAGAGAGACCAGAGAGAGAGAGACCAGAGAGAGAGAGACCAGAGAGAGAGAGACCAGAGAGAGAGACCAGAGAGAGAGTATTGTTAGTACTGCTGCAGTACTAACAGCAGAGAAACAAAATAAGACTTTGCTCGGGTTTGTCCGAAGTCCCTCCTCAAAGTACACTTGTGGCAGACTGAAGCTCTAAACTGAAGCTCTAAACTAAAGCTCTAAACTGAAGCTCTAAACTAAAGCTCTAAACTAAAGCTCTAAACTAAAGCTCTAAACTGAAGCTCTAAACTGAAGCTCTAAACTAAAGCTCTAAACTGAAGCTCTAAACTGAAGCTCTAAACTAAAGCTCTAAACTGAAGATCTAAACTAAAGCTCTAAACTAAAGTTCTAGACTAAAGTTCTAGACTAAAGCTCTAAACTAAAGCTCTAAACTAAAGCTCTAAACTAAAGCTCTAAACTAAAGCTCTAAACTAAAGCTCTAAACTGAAGCTCTAAACTGAAGCTCTAAACTAAAGCTCTAAACTAAAGCTCTAAACTAAAGCTCTAAACTAAAGCTCTAAACTAAAGTTCTAGACTAAAGCTCTAAACTGAAGCTCTAAACTGAAGCTCTAAACTGAAGCTCTAAACTGAAGCTCTAGACTAAAGCTCTAGACTAAAGCTCTAAACTGAAGCTCTAAACTGAAGCTCTAAACTGAAGCTCTAAACTAAAGCTCTAAACTAAAGCTCTAGACTAAAGCTCTAAACTAAAGCTCTAAACTGAAGCTCTAAACTGAAGCTCTAAACTAAAGCTCTAAACTAAAGCTCTAAACTGAAGCTCTAAACTGAAGCTCTAAACTGAAGCTCTAAACTGAAGATCTAAACTAAAGCTCTAAACTAAAGTTCTAGACTAAAGCTCTAAACTAAAGCTCTAAACTAAAGCTCTAAACTAAAGCTCTAAACTAAAGCTCTAAACTGAAGCTCTAAACTAAAGCTCTAAACTAAAGCTCTAAACTGAAGCTCTAAACTGAAGCTCTAAACTAAAGCTCTAAACTAAAGCTCTAAACTGAAGCTCTAAACTGAAGCTCTAAACTGAAGCTCTAAACTAAAGCTCTAAACTAAAGCTCTAAACTAAAGCTCTAAACTAAATCTCTAAACTAAAGCTCTAAACTAAAGCTCTAAACTGAAGCTCTAAACTAAAGCTCTAAACTAAAGCTCTAAACTAAAGCTCTAAACTAAAGTTCTAGACTAAAGCTCTAAACTGAAGCTCTAAACTTAAGCTCTAAACTGAAGCTCTAAACTGAAGCTCTAGACTAAAGCTCTAAACTGAAGCTCTAAACTGAAGCTCTAAACTGAAGCTCTAAACTGAAGCTCTAAACTGAAGCTCTAAACTAAAGCTCTAAACTGAAGCTCTAAACTAAAGCTCTAAACTAAAGCTCTAAACTAAAGCTCTAAACTAAAGCTCTAGACTAAAGTTCTAGACTAAAGCTCTAAACTAAAGCTCTAAACTAAAGCTCTAGACTAAAGCTCTAAACTAAAGCTCTAAACTAAAGCTCTAAACTAAAGCTCTAAACTAAAGCTCTAAACTAAAGCTCTAAACTAAAGCTCTAAACTAAAGCTCTAAACTGAAGTGGATCTGTCTCGGTCTGAGGTGAAGATAAAATAATTGAATTGAATCAATCGTCTCTGCTCCAGGTGCAGAACGCCAAACAGATCAACAGCAGCCTCAAACACGGTCTGGAGCCCGGGGTCGAGGACTTCCTGCTGCCCGAGGTACCTTCAGGATGTGCTAATGCTAATGCTAATGCTAACACTGTTCTCTGATGACGTCTGTGCTAATGCTAACACTGTTCTCTGATGACGTCTGTGCTAATGCTAACACTGTTCTCTGATGACGTCTGTGCTAATGCTAATGCTAACGCTGTTCTCTGATGACGTCTGTGCTAATGCTAACGCTGTTCTCTGATGACGTCTGTGCTAATGCTAACGCTGTTCTCTGATGATCGTCTGTGCTAATGCTAATGCTGTTCTCTGATGACGTCTGTGCTAATGCTAACACTGTTCTCTGATGACGTCTGTGCTAATGCTAACGCTGTTCTCTGATGACGTCTGTGCTAATGCTAACACTGTTCTCTGCATGACGTCTGTGCTAATGCTAACACTGTTCTCTGATGACGTCTGTGCTAATGCTAACACTGTTCTCTGATGACGTCTGTGCTAATGCTAACACTGTTCTCTGATGACGTCTGTGCTAATGCTAACACTGTTCTCTGATGACGTCTGTGCTATGCTAACACTGTTCTCTGATGACGTCTGTGCTAATGCTAACACTGTTCTCTGATGACGTCTGTGCTAATGCTAACACTGTTCTCTGATGACGTCTGTGCTAATGCTAACACTGTTCTCTGATGACGTCTGTGCTAATGCTAACACTGTTCTCTGATGACGTCTGTGCTAATGCTAACACTGTTCTCTGATGACGTCTGTGCTAATGCTAACACTGTTCTCTGATGACGTCTGTGCTAATGCTAACACTGTTCTCTGATGACGTCTGTGCTAATGCTAATGCTAATGCTAACACCGTTCTCTGATGACGTCTGTGCTAATGCTAACACTGTTCTCTGATGACGTCTGTGCTAATGCTAACACTGTTCTCTGATGACGTCTGTGCTTAATGCTAACGCTGTTCTCTGATGACGTCTGTGCTAATGCTAACACTGTTCTCTGATGACGTCTGTGCTAATGCTAACACCGTTCTCTGATGACGTCTGTGCTAATGCTAACACTGTTCTCTGATGACGTCTGTGCTAATGCTAACGCTGTTCTCTGATGACGTCTGTGCTAATGCTAACACTGTTCTCTGATGACGTCTGTGCTAATGCTAACACTGTTCTCTGATGACGTCTGTGCTAATGCTAACACTGTTCTCTGATGACGTCTGTGCTAATGCTAACACTGTTCTCTGATGACGTCTGTGCTAATGCTAACACTGTTCTCTGATGACGTCTGTGCTAATGCTAACACTGTTCTCTGATGACGTCTGTGCTAATGCTAACACTGTTCTCTGATGACGTCTGTGCTAATGCTAACACTGTTCTCTGATGACGTCTGTGCTAATGCTAACGCTGTTCTTGATGACGTCTGTGCTAATGCTAACACTGTTCTCTGATGACGTCTGTGCTAATGCTAACGCTGTTCTCTGATGACGTTGTGCTAATGCTAACGCTGTTCTCTGATGACGTCTGTGCTAATGCTAACGCTGTTCTCTGATGACGTCTGTGCTAATGCTAACACTGTTCTCTGATGAGTCTGTGCTAATGCTAACACTGTTCTCTGATGACGTCTGTGCTAATGCTAACGCTGTTCTCTCTGATGACGTCTGTGCTAATGCTAACACTGTTCTCTGATGACGTCTGTGCTAAATGCTAACACTGTTCTCTGATGACGTCTGTGCTAATGCTAACACTGTTCTCTGATGACGTCTGTGCTAATGCTAACACTGTTCTCTGATGACGTCTGTGCTAATGCTAACGCTGTTCTCTGATGACGTCTGTGCTAATGCTAACGCTGTTCTCTGATGACGTCTGTGCTAATGCTAACACTGTTCTCTGATGACGTCTGTGCTAATGCTAACGCTGTTCTCTGATGACGTCTGTGCTAATGCTAACACCGTTCTCTGATGACGTCTGTGCTAATGCTAACACTGTTCTCTGATGACGTCTGTGCTAATGCTAACGCTGTTCTCTGATGACGTCTGTGCTAATGCTAACACTGTTCTCTGATGACGTCTGTGCTAATGCTAACGCTGTTCTCTGCTGACGTCTGTGCTAATGCTAACGCTGTTCTCTGATGACGTCTGTGCTAATGCTAACGCTGTTCTCTGATGACGTCTGTGCTAATGCTAACACTGTTCTCTGATGACGTCTGTGCTAATGCTAACGCTGTTCTCTGATGACGTCTGTGCTAATGCTAACACTGTTCTCTGATGACGTCTGTGCTAATGCTAACGCTGTTCTCTGATGACGTCTGTGCTAATGCTAACACTGTTCTCTGATGACGTCTGTGCTAATGCTAACACTGTTCTCTGATGACGTCTGTGCTAATGCTAACACCGTTCTCTGATGACGTCTGTGCTAATGCTAACACCGTTCTCTGATGACGTCTGTGCTAATGCTATACGCTGTTCTCTGATGACGTCTGTGCTAATGCTAACACTGTTCTCTGATTGACGTCTGTGCTAATGCTAACACTGTTCTCTGATGACGTCTGTGCTAATGCTAACACTGTTCTCTGATGACGTCTGTGCTAATGCTAACACTGTTCTCTGATGACGTCTGTGCTAATGCTAACGCTGTTTCTCTGATGACGTCTGTGCTAATGCTAACACTGTTCTCTGATGACGTCTGTGCTAATGCTAACGCTGTTCTCTGATGACGTCTGTGCTAATGCTAACACTGTTCTCTGATGACGTCTGTGCTAATGCTAACACTGTTCTCTGATGACGTCTGTGACTAATGCTAACACTGTTCTCTGATGACGTCTGTGCTAATGCTAACACTGTTCTCTGATGACGTCTGTGCTAATGCTAACACTGTTCTCTGATGACGTCTGTGCTAATGCTAACACTGTTCTCTGATGACGTCTGATGCTAATGCTAACACTGTTCTCTGATGACGTCTGTGCTAATGCTAACACTGTTCTCTGATGACGTCTGTGCTAATGCTAACACAGTTCTATGATGACGTCTGTGCTAATGCTAACGCTGTTCTCTGATGACGTCTGTGCTAATGCATAACACTGTTCTCTGATGACGTCTGTGCTAATGCTAACACTGTTCTCTGATGACGTCTGTGCTAATGCTAACACTGTTCTCTGATGACGTCTGTGCTAATGCTAACACTGTTCTCTGATGACGTCTGTGCTAATGCTAACACTGTTCTCTGATGACGTCTGTGCTAATGCTAACACTGTTCTCTGATGACGTCTGTGCTAATGCTAACACTGTTCTCTGATGACGTCTGTGCTAATGCTAACACTGTTCTCTGATGACGTCTGTGCTAATGCTAATGCTAATGCTAACGCTGTTCTCTGATGACGTCTGTGCTAATGCTAACGCTGTTCTCTGATGACGTCTGTGCTAATGCTAACACTGTTCTCTGATGACGTCTGTGCTAATGCTAACACTGTTCTCTGATGACGTCTGTGCTAATGCTAACACTGTTCTCTGATGACGTCTGTGCTAATGCTAACGCTGTTCTCTGATGACGTCTGTGCTAATGCTAACACTGTTCTCTGATGACGTCTGTGCTAATGCTAACACTGTTCTCTGATGAAGTATTTGCTAATGTTAAGGCTATGCTGTTTTCTCATGATGTTCTATGCTAATGCTAATGCTGTTTTCTCATGATGTTCTATGCTAATGCTAATGCTGTTTTCTCATGATGTTCTATGCTAATGCTAATGCTGTTTTCTCATGATGTTCTATGCTAATGCTAATGCTGTTTTCTCATGATGTTCTATGCTAATGCTAATGCTAATGCTTGTGCAGAGTAACCAGAAGGTGAACGCTCGCTGGACGACAGACGAGCAGCTTCTAGCCGTTCAGGGTGAGTGGAAAAATCAGCTTCTCTTTAGCATTAATGCTAACACTGGTGATGTCACACTCTGTCAGTCTGCTCTATAATGGGACTATGGGTCTATATTGGGACTATGGGTGGGACTATGGGTCTATTGGGACTATGGGTCTATAATGGGACTATGGGTCTATAATGGGACTATGGGTCTATATTGGGACTATGGGTCTATATTGGGACTATGGGTCTATATTGGGACTATGGGTCTATATTGGGACTATGGGTCTATATTGGGACTATGGGTCTATATTGGGACTATGGGTCTAAATTGGGACTATGGGTCTATATTGGGACTATGGGTCTATAATGGGACTATGGGTCTATATTGGGACTATGGGTCTATATTGGGACTATGGGTCTATATTGGGACTATGGGTCTATATTGGGACTATGGGTCTGTCATGGTATGATTGTCAATGTAGCACGATGACATTCCAGCTCCCTCTGGTGTAGCACAGGGAGTTACAGGCATCTCCTCTCTCTGGTCTCTCTCTTGGTCTCTCTATGGTCTCTCTCTGGTCTCTCTGGTCTCTCTCTCTGGTCTCTCTCTCTGGTCTCTCTCGGTCTCTCTCTGGTCTCTCTCTGGTCTCTCTCTCTGGTCTCTCTCTGGTCTCTCTCTCTGGTCTCTCTCTCTGGTCTCTCTCTCTGGTCTCTCTCTCTGGTCTCTCTCTCTGGTCTCTCTCTGGTCTCTCTCTCTGGTCTCTCTCTGGTCTCTCTCTGGTCTCTCTCTCTGGTCTCTCTCTCTGGTCTCTCTCTGGTCTCTCTCTCTGGTCTCTCTTGGTCTCTCTCTCTGGTCTCTCTCTGGTCTCTCTCTCTGGTCTCTCTCTGGTCTCTCTCTGGTCTCTCTCTGGTCTCTCTCTGGTCTCTCTCTGGTCTGGTCTCTCTGGTCTCTCTCTGGTCTGGTCTCTCTGGTCTCTCTCTCTGGTCTCTCTCTGGTCTCTCTCTGGTCTCTCTCTGGTCTCTCTCTGGTCTCTCTCTGGTCTCTCTCTGGTCTCTCTCTGGTCTCTCTCTCTGGTCTGGTCTCTCTGGTCTCTCTCTGGTCTGGTCTCTCTGGTCTCTCTCTCTGGTCTCTCTCTGGTCTCTCTCTGGTCTCTCTCTGGTCTCTCTCTGGTCTCTCTCTGGTCTCTCTCTGGTCTCTCTCTGGTCTCTCTCTGGTCTCTCTCTGGTCTCTCGGTGTTGTAGGTCGGTGCAGGTTAGTGAGTGAGTAATCTTTATTTATATACCGCCTTTTCACTGCAGATCTGAGTCTCAAAGCGGTTTACAATTGTTATTTTTTGGGCATTTGTCTCTCACTCCACACAGAGATGGGAGCGGGGCCAGTACAGGAGGCGCATGCCAGAACTATTGTACATATTTTTAGCGGTAGGGGAAACCGGAGTACCCGGAGGAAACCTACGCAGACACGGGGAGAACATGCAAACTCCACTCAGAAAGGCCCTGGTCCAACCGGGATTCGAACCCAGGACCTTCTTGCTGAGAGGCGAGAGTGCTAACCACTCAGCCACCGTGCCGCCCAGTGGTTGTAATTTGGCGAAGAATGCGATAGTAAAGTATTCTGGTCTAGTAAAGTAATCTGGTCTAGTAAAGTATTCTGGTCTAGTAAAGTAATCTGGTCTAGTAAAGTATTCCGGTCTAGTAAAGTAATCCGGTCTAGTAAAGTAATCTGGTCTAGTAAAGTAATCTGGTCTAGTAAAGTATTCTGGTCTAGTAAAGTAATCTGGTCTAGTAAAGTATTCTTGTCTAGTAAAGTATTCTTGTCTAGTAAAGTATTCTGGTCTAGTAAAGTATTCTGGTCTAGTAAAGTATTCTGGTCTAGTAAAGTAATCTGGTCTAGTAAAGTAATCTGGTCTAGTAAAGTAATCTGGTCTAGTAAAGTAATCTGGTCTAGTAAAGTATTCTGGTCTAGTAAAGTAATCCGGTCTAGTAAAGTATTCTGGTCTAGTAAAGTAATCTGGTCTAGTAAAGTAATCTGGTCTGGTTCTATCAAGAAACTGAAGCAGGAGAAAGAGGAATGTTTAGTAAATGTAATCGCTGGAAGAAATTGTGGCGCTACTCCCCACGGGCTCCGTTAGCGGCAAAGGAGATGGCTAAAGCTAGGCTAAATGCTAATGCTAACAACTCACTCGGGCTCATTACATACGTCACAGTAAACTCAGATCCAATCTAAAACTATAAATGAGAAAGTAAGGCAAGGCAAGGCAAGGCAAGTTTATTTGTATAGCACAATTCATACACAAGGCAACTCAAAGTGCTGAACAAGATAGCATTAAAATCATAAATAATCACAGAACATTAAAACGAAAGATAAAAATATAAAATCCCTCAGTTGTAGCACAGCTAAACAGAACTGTCTTTAACCTGGTTTTAAACATTGTCAGAGAGGAGGCCTGTCTCACATCTTCAGGAAGATTGTTCCAGATTTTAGCAGCATGAATCTGAAAAGCAGCCTCCCCATGTTTAGTTCTGACTCTGGGCACTAACAGGAGTCCAGTCCCTGTGCTCCTCAGAGTCCCAGCAGGAGTCCAGTCCCTGTGCTCATCAGAGTCCCAGCAGGAGGCCAGTCCCTGTGCTCCTCAGAGTCCCAGCAGGAGTCCAGTCCCTGTGCTCCTCAGAGTCCCAGCAGGAGTCCAGTCCCTGTGCTCCTCAGAGTCCCAGCAGGAGTCCAGTCCCTGTGCTCCTCAGAGTCCCAGCAGGAGTCCAGTCCCTGTGCTCCTCAGAGTCCCAGCAGGAGTCCAGTCCCTGTGCTCCTCAGAGTCCCAGCAGGAGTCCAGTCCCTGTGCTCCTCAGAGTCCCAGCAGGAGTCCAGTCCCTGTGCTCCTCAGAGTCCCAGCAGGAGTCCAGTCCCTGTGCTCCTCAGAGTCCCAGCAGGAGTCCAGTCCCTGTGCTCCTCAGAGTCCCAGCAGGAGTCCAGTCCCAGCAGGAGTCCAGTCCCTGTGCTCCTCAGAGTCCGGGCTGGTTCATATGGGACTAACATGTCACTAATATATTTTGGTGCGAGGCCATGGAGAGACTTGTAACAAGCAGAGCTGTTTTAAAGTCTATTCTCTGAGCCACAGGAAGCCAGTGCAGAGACCTGAGGACTGGACTAATGTGGTCGTACTTCCTGGTTCTAGTCAGGACTAATGTGGTCGTACTTCCTGGTTCTAGTCAGGACTAATGTGGTCGTACTTCCTGGTTCTAGTCAGGACTAATGTGGTCGTACTTCCTGGTTCTAGTCAGGACTAATGTGGTCGTACTTCCTGGTTCTAGTCAGGACTAATGTGGTCGTACTTCCTGGTTCTTGTCAGGACTAATGTGGTCGTACTTCCTGGTTCTAGTCCGGACTAATGTGGTCGTACTTCCTGGTTCTTGTCAGGACTAATGTGGTCGTACTTCCTGGTTCTAGTCAGGACTAATGTGGTCGTACTTCCTGGTTCTAGTCAGGACTAATGTGGTCGTACTTCCTGGTTCTAGTCAGGACTAATGTGGTCGTACTTCCTGGTTCTAGTCAGGACTAATGTGGTCGTACTTCCTGGTTCTAGTCAGGACTAATGTGGTCGTACTTCCTGGTTCTAGTCAGGACTGATGTGGTCGTACTTCCTGGTTCTAGTCCGGACTAATATGGTCGTACTTCCTGGTTCTAGTCAGGACTCGAGCTGCTGCATTTTGAATGTACTGCAGCTGTTTTACAGCCTGTTTGGACAGACCTGTGAGCAGGCCATTGCAGTAGTCTAACCTACTGGAGACAAATGCATGGATAAGAATCTCCAAGTCTGCTTTAGACACTATGTTTTTGATCCTGGCAATGTTTTTTAGATGGTAAAAAGCTGCTGATGTTACTGATTTGATGTGGTTATTAAAATTTAAGTCAGAGTCCAGTATTACCTCTAGATTTCTGACCTTGTTTGAAGGTTTTAGGGAGAGAGACTGTAGGTGACAGATGACGCTCTCTCTTTGTTTCTGGGGACCAAAGACAATCATTTCAGTTTTGTCTGCGTTTAGCTGAAGGAAGTTGTTTTGCATCCACTCACTGATCTGTTGGATACAGTGAAGGAGTGAGTCCACTGGTCCATGTTCTCCTGCAGTCAGTGAGACATAGATCTGAGTGTCGTCTGCATAGTTATGATAGGACACTTTGTTTCTGCGTATTAACTGACCTAACGGCAGCATGTAGAGATTGAACAGAAGAGGTCCCAGGGTCGACCCCTGTGGTACTCCACAGGTCAGGGCCATATGATCTGAGACACAGTTTCCAATCTCCACAAAGTACTTCCTGTCTTCAAGGTAAGACCTAAACCAACTTAGGGCGGTGCCAGCGACGCCAACCCAGTCCTCTAGTCTCTGTAAGAGGATCTCATGGTCGACAGTGTCAAAGGCAGCACTCAGATCTAACAGGATTAGGATTGAGACTTTGCCTGCGTCAGTGTTCAGCCGGATATCGTTTGTAACCTTGACGAGAGCAGTCTCAGTGCTGTGGTGGGGTCTAAAGCCGGACTGAAACATATCAAATGAGTTGTTGATTATAAGAAATCTAGTAAGCTGTAGGTAGACAACTTTTTCAAGGACTTTCCCCATAAATGGCAGATTTGAGATGGGACGATAGTTGTTCAGTACCGTAGCATCCAGACTGCTCTTTTTTAGCAGGGGCCTGATGACTGCAGTTTTCAGGGCCTTTGGGAATATTCCAGAATCAAGGGACATGTTTACTATCTGTGTGAGTGAAGGTAACAGACTGCTCAGAACAGACTTCAGAAATCTAGTGGGTAGTACATCCAGGCAGCATGTGGAGGAGCTCAGACTGGAGATTATCTCTTGGACAGTTTGATCATTTACAGGTGCAAAGTGAGTTAGCTCAAAGAGCCTTTCTGGTTGTTGGATGGTTATCTGTGGATTGGAGACAATGGCGTTTTTGATGCCTTGAACCTTGTCATTGAAAAAATGTGCAAACTCATTACATTTACGTTTGGAAGTTAGCTCTAATGGCATCTGAACAGGGGGGTTTGTTAATCTATTAACTGTTGAAAACAGAACACGCAGATTGTTACTGCAGCCTTCAATAATTTCAGAAAAATACCTTTCTCTCGTACTACGTAGCACCCGGTTAAACTCGCACAACTTATCTTTGAAGATCTTGTAATCAACCTGGAGGTTGGACTTGCGCCACTTCCGCTCGGCCCTCCGGCACTCTCTCTTTTGTGCCCTGACCGAGTCTGCTTTAGCCCACGGCGCCTTCTGCTTATTTTTCACTATTTTAACCTTCACAGGAGCGATGGTGTCCAGAACATTCAAAACACTAGAGGTGACAGAGTTAAACAGTTCATCTACAGTAGAATACGATGCATTCTCAAAGTTTATCATTCTCATAAATAGTTCACCCGTATTTTCATTTATGTGTCTTCTTCGAACAGTTGCAGAGTCCACTGGTGGTTTGTTAGTGAAACACATGTCAAAAAATATACAAAAATGATCCGAAAGCGCAACATCGACCACGTTTACATTATAAATGTTCGCCCCCTTTGTAACTAACAGGTCTAGAGTGTGCCCTCTGCTGTGGGTGGGGCCACTTACGTGCTGAGTGAGACCAAAGGTATCAAGTAAAGAACTCAGCTCTTTGGCATTTCTGTCATCAACATTATCCACATGAATATTAAAATCACCTGTAATAACTAAACTATCAAAATCTGTGCATACAACTGAAAGTAACTCGGTAAAATTATCAATAAAACTGTGACATGACTGCGGTGGCTTGTATAGGACAATGAAGAGTATTGGACTAGATTGTTTTTGTTGTATTTTAAAAGACACATATTCAAAAGACGGAAACTTCCCAAGAGACATTCTATGGGAGACAAAGTGGTCTCTGAAAATGGCAGCTAAGCCTCCTCCTTTTTTGTTTTCCCGTATTTTAGATTCAAATTTGAAATTTGGTGGTGATGCTTCTATTAAAACTGCATTTCCTGAATTTTGGTCAAGCCAAGTTTCAGCCATGAACATAAGATCAAGATTATGAGAACAAATAAAATTATTGATTAAAAAAGACTTGTTACAAAGAGATCTGACATTAAGCATAGCAAGTTTCAAAGTTTCAGGATCAGCGGTTGTGGTCGGCTGATTCTTACACGGAACAAGAATTAGATTTTCCAGATTAGACTGATTAACTCCAGATGTCTTTCTGTAATGTATTCTTTGTGTTATCACTAAGGGAATGGCACAGGTGGCTTCATGACAGGGCCCCAGCCGGGTCTCTCCTCTAACTAGACTGCCCCTAACCTAACTAACTCTAACTAACCCTAACCCTAACCCTCTAACTAGACTGCCCCTAACCTAACTAACTAACCCTAACCCTAACCCTCTAACTAGACTGCCAGTGGCTGCGAAGCAGAGACCCTGTGCATCCTAGTGTTTAGAGAAAAGAGGGGAAGGGGAAGGCGGGGGAGGAGGATGGAGAGGTGGGTGGTGCTTGGGAGTTGGACGGGGGGGGGGTTGAAGGTGGATGGGTTTTTGGTGATGGGTTAGGGGAGGGGCAGGCTGAGTTGGGTGGTGGACGAGGGGGGAGTGGAGGTGGAGGGTTTCTTGGTGCTGAGTTAGGGGGGAGGTGGGCTAAATGAGCAGGAGGGGGGGGTGGAATACTTATGGGGTTAGAGGAGGGACGGGTGGATTTTGTGGGAGAATTTGAGTTGGACGCCCTAGGTGGCTTTGGAGGTACGTATGGGGAGTAGTTATGAATGTTAGATAGGACTCTTGATCTGGCTACAGTGGGTGTGAGAGGAATAGTCTTCATCGCCGATCTTATCATGCCTGCAGAGTGTTCCGGTAAATCCAATAGTGAAGGAAAACACAGGGAAAGGTCGTCCTCATGTTCCTTAGATGGAGTGGATGTAGTGGGGGGGACCCAAACCGGGTCCATGGAAGGTGATGAGGGAGTCTTTGGTGGAGACAGAGGTGGTTGAGAGGCCCCCAGTACAGGCCTGTCTGTAGCCTGGAGTAATGGGGGAAGCTTCACGGGGGCTGTAGGTGGGGAAGGTGCTGCTGAAGATGATGGAGCAGCCACTGCTGCTGCTGTATCCACTGCTGCTGCTGAAGATGATGGAGCAGCCACTGCTGCGGCTGTATCCACTGCTGCTGCTGAAGATGATGGAGCAGCCACTGCTGCTGCTGAAGATGATGGAGCAGCCACTGCTGCTGCTGAAGATGATGGAGCAGCCACTGCTGCGGCTGTATCCACTGCTGCTGCTGAAGATGATGGAGCAGCCACTGCTGCGGCTGTATCCACTGCTGCTGGTGGTGCTGTATATGCTGATGGCGCTGATGAAGATGTGGCAGCTGCTGATGATGCTGGTGGTGGAGGCGTTGAGCTCTTTCGGAGCCGTGTACTAACTTAGCGCCAGTAGGAACTAAAGTCTGGTGTTGTGTGTTTCAGGAGTGCGTAAATACGGCAAACACTTCCAGGCGATCGCAGACGTGATCGGGAACAAGACGGTGGGGCAGGTCAAGAACTTCTTTGTGAACTACCGGCGGCGCTTCAACCTGGAGGAGGTGCTGCAGGAGTGGGAGGCAGAGCAGGGGACCCGAGCCCCCAACGGAGACAGCGCCCCCGGTGGAGAGGAGGGCAAGAGCAGCACGCCAGCCTCAGGGAAGAGCACGGACGAGGAGGACGAGGAGGTGAGGCTGTGTTAGCATGTTAGCATTGTCCATCTGTATACAGTCTGTGTTAGCATGTTAGCATTGTCCATCTGTATACAGTCTGTGTTAGCATGTTAGCATGTTAGCATTGTCCATCTGTATCCAGTCTGTGTTAGCATGTTAGCATTGTCCATCTGTATCCAGTCTGTGTTAGCATGTTAGCATTGTCTAGTGAGATAGTTATATTTATTAAAGTATAAGGTGTGTGTGTTCCAGGTCTCGTCAGGGGCCTCTCCAGCCGCCTCCTCTTCATCCCTCCCCCCCTCCTCCTCCTCCTCCTCCCTGCACCAGCCCCCCCCTCTCCTGCGCCCCTCCCTCCCCTCGGCCCCCGCGCTGCACCGCCACCCGCCGCCGCTGCAGCAGCAGGCGCGCTTCCTGCAGCCGCGCGCCGCTCTGCACCAGCCGCCGCCTCTGATCCGACCCACGGGGACCGCCCCTCAGCCGCCGAGACTGAACCCCAGACCCCAGCAGACCTCCACCTCCTCCACCTCCTCCTCCACCTCCTCCACCTCCACCTCCTCCACCTCTGCTGCTGCATCAGGGAGCGCGCAGACGGAGACCACGCTCTGAAGACGTTCAAGACGCCGTCACGGACTCAGAATCGTTAAATGTATTTGTGTGTCGCCCTAAAAATGTTGTCGATTCACCAACAGCAGATCAGACCCAGGACTGAGGCTGTAGACCCAGGACTGAGGCTATAGACCCAGGACTGAGGCTGTAGACCCAGGACTGAGGCTGTAGACCCAGGACTGAGACTGTAGACCCAGGACTGAGGCTGTAGACCCAGGACTGAGGCTGTAGACCCAGGACTGAGGCTGTAGACCCAGGACTGAGGCTGTAGACCCAGGACTGAGACTGTAGACCCAGGACTGAGACTGTAGACCCAGGACTGAGACTGTAGACCCAGGACTGAGGCTGTAGACCCAGGACTGAGGCTGTAGACCCAGGACTGAGGCTGTAGACCCAGGACTGAGGCTGTAGACCCAGGACTGAGGCTGTAGACCCAGGACTGAGACTGTAGACCCAGGACTGAGACTGTAGACCCAGGACTGAGGCTGTAGACCCAGGACTGAGGCTGTAGACCCAGGACTGAGGCTGTAGACCCAGGACTGAGGCTGTAGACCCGGGACTGAGGCTGTAGACCCAGGACTGAGACTGTAGACCCAGGACTGAGACTGTAGACCCAGGACTGAGGCTGTAGACCCAGGACTGAGGCTGTAGACCCAGGACTGAGGCTGTAGACCCAGGACTGAGGCTGTAGACCCAGGACTGAGGCTGTAGACCCAGGACTGAGACTGTAGACCCAGGACTGAGGCTGTAGACCCAGGACTGAGGCTGTAGACCCAGGACTGAGGCTGTAGACCCAGGACTGAGGCTGTAGACCCAGGACTGAGGCTGTAGACCCAGGACTGAGACTGTAGACCCAGGACTGAGACTGTAGACCCAGGACTGAGGCTGTAGACCCAGGACTGAGACTGTAGACCCAGGACTGAGGCTGTAGACCCAGGACTGAGACTGTAGACCCAGGACTGAGACTGTAGACCCAGGACTGAGGCTGTAGGCCCAGGACTGAGACTGTAGACCCAGGACTGAGGCTGTAGACCCAGGACTGAGACTGTAGACCCAGGACTGAGGCTCTAGACCCAGGACTGAGGCTGTAGACCCAGGACTGAGGCTGTAGACCCAGGACTAAGGCTGTAGACCCAGGACTGAGGCTGTAGACCCAGGACTGAGGCTGTAGACCCAGGACTGAGGCTGTAGACCCAGGACTGAGGCTGTAGACCCAGGACTGAGGCTGTAGACCCAGGACTAAGGCTGTAGACCCAGGACTGAGGCTGTAGACCCAGGACTGAGGCTGTAGACCCAGGACTGAGGCTGTAGACCCAGGACTGAGGCTGTAGACCCAGGACTGAGGCTGTAGACCCAGGACTGAGGCTGTAGACCCAGGACTGAGGCTGTAGACCCAGGACTGAGACTGTAGATCCAGGACTAAGACTGTAGACCCAGGACTGAGGCTGTAGACCCAGGACTGAGACTGTAGACCCAGGACTGAGGCTGTAGACCCAGGACTGAGGCTGTAGACCCAGGACTGAGGCTGTAGACCCAGGACTGAGGCTGTAGACCCAGGACTGAGGCTGTAGACCCAGGACTGAGGCTGTAGACCCAGGACTGAGGCTGTAGACCCAGGACTGAGGCTGTAGACCCAGGACTGAGGCTGTAGACCCAGGACTGAGGCTGTAGACCCAGGACTGAGGCTGTAGACCCAGGACTGAGGCTGTAGACCCAGGACTGAGGCTGTAGACCCAGGACTGAGGCTGCTTCACTCTTTAGTAAAGTAGTCATTTATTTTTATTTTTAACTTATATTGAAGTCCTTCCAAATGTGTTGTTTCCTACATTACCCATGATGCTTTGGGGTTGGGCAAATATTTCAAACGTTATTTCCCACTTTTCAATTTTTTGGATTTAAAAAGTTAGTCTTCAATAAATAAAATATAAATGTATCGATGGTGTTTCTGTTCAGACGGAACTGAGCCAGAGAGAGAGACCAGAGAGAGAGACCAGAGAGAGAGACCAGAGAGAGAGAGACCAGAGAGAGAGACCAGAGAGAGAGACCAGAGAGAGAGACCAGAGAGAGAGACCAGAGAGAGAGACCAGAGAGAGAGACCAGAGAGCAGAGAGACCAGAAGAGAGAGACCAGAGAGAGACCAGAGAGCAAGAGACCAGAGAGAGAGACCAGAGAGAGACCAGAGAGAGAGACCAGAGAGAGACCAGAGAGAGCCAGACAGAGTCCAGAGGGAGGCCAGAGAGAGAGGGACCAGAGAAAGACCAGAGAGTGAAGGACCAGAAAGAGTCCAGAGAGAGTCCAGAGAGAGACCAGAGAGAGTCCAGAGAGAGTCCAGAGAGAGTCCAGAGAGAGTCCAGAGAGAGGCCAGAGAGAGTCCAGAGAGAGTCCAGAGAGAGACCAGAGAGAGTCCAGAGAGAGTCCAGAGAGAGTCCAGAGAGAGTCCAGAGAGAGGCCAGAGAGAGTCCAGAGAGAGTCCAGAGAGAGACCAGAGAGAGACCAGAGAGAGTCCAGAGAGAGTCCAGAGAGAGTCCAGAGAGAGTCCAGAGAGAGGCCAGAGAGAGTCCAGAGAGAGTCCAGAGAGAGTCCAGAGAGAGTCCAGAGAGAGTCCAGAGAGAGTCCAGAGACAGACACCTGTTTATTGAGGCCACAGAGTTTAAAGAACTTTAGCAGTACTTCCTGGTCCAGTATTTAGAGAGTCTCGTTGGGGTTAGGGTTAGGTTTGTTTGGAGTTTGTTTGTTTGGCTCTTGTTCCCGTCTTCTCTCTGGATGTCACCCCCTCTTCTCCTCCGCTCTCTCCCCCAGGACAGTGCTCTTATCTGGGCTTTCTTCTGCCGCCCTGTCCCCCTGCCCACTGGCCTCCTCCGGCTGCAGCGGGAGATAGGATCTGAACCGCTCGCCTCCTGACAGATGCGGCGCGTACTCTGCTCCCAGCGCCACGGCTACAGCGATACGTCTGATATATGTGTGTATTATGACCAGATGACAGGACCACAGAGGGGGAGAGGGGGAAGGCAGAGGGGAGGCAGAGGGGGAGGCAGAGGGGGAGGCAGTTAGAGAAGGAGCAAGAAAATATTTGTATAAAGCACAACTGCTTTCAAATCATCATGTATTTAATTGATATGTCTTAGAATGTGTGTCTGATACAGGACTAGACCAGAGAGAGACCAGAGAGAGACTAGAGAGAGACTAGAGAGATACCAGAGAGAGACCAGAGAGAGACCAGAGAGAGACCAGCGAGAGACCAGAGAGAGAGCAGAGAGAGACCAGAGAGAGACCAGCGAGAGACCAGAGAGAGAGCAGAGAGAGACCAGAGAGAGACCAGAGAGAGACCAGAGAGAGACCAGAGAGAGACCAGAGAGAGACCAGAGAGAGACCAGAGAGAGACCAGAGAGAGACCAGAGAGAGACTAGAGAGAGACTAGAGAGATACCAGAGAGAGACCAGAGAGAGACCAGAGAGAGAGCAGAGAGAGACCAGAGAGAGACCAGAGAGACCAGAGAGAGACCAGAGAAAGACCAGAGAGACCAGAGAGAGACCAGAGAGAGACCAGAGAGACCAGAGAGAGACCAGAGAGAGACCAGAGAGAGACCAGAGAGAGACCAGAAGAGAGACCAGAGAGAGACCAGAGAGAGACCAGAGAGACCAGAGAGAGACCAGAGAGAGACCAGAGAGAGAGCAGAGAGAGACCAGAGAGAGAGCAAAGACCAGAGAGAGACCAGAGAGAGAGCAGAGAGAGACCAGAGAGAGACCAGAGAGAGACCAGAGAGACCAAAGAGAGACCAGAGAGAGACCAGAGAGAGACCAGAGAGAGACCAGAGAGACCAGAGAGAGACCAGAGAGACCAGAGATAGACCAGAGAGAAACCAGAGAGACCAGAGAGAGACCAGAGAGAGACCAGACAGAGACCAGAGAGACCAGAGAGAGACCAGAGAGAGACCAGAGAGAGACCAGAGAGAAACCAGAGAGACCAGAGAGAGACCAGAGAGACCAGAGATAGACCAGAGAGAAACCAGAGAGACCAGAGAGAGACCAGAGATAGAACAGAGAGAGACCAGAGAGAGACCAGAGAGAGGCCAGAGAGAGACCAGAGAGAGACCAGAGAGAGACCAGAGAGAGACCAGAGAGACACCAGAGGGAGGCCAGAGAGACCAGAGAGAGACCAGAGAGAGACCAGAGAGAGACCAGAGAGAGACCAGAGAGAGAGACCAGAGAGAGGCCAGAGAGAGACCAGAGAGAGACCAGAGAGAGACCAGAGAGAGACCAGAGAGAGACCAGAGTGAGACCAGAGAGAGACCAGAGAGACACCAGAGGGAGGCCAGAGAGACCAGAGAGAGACCAGAGAGAGATCAGAGAGACCGGAGAGAGACCAGAGAGAGACCAGAGAGAGACCAGAGAGAGACCAGAGAGAGACCAGAGAGAGATCAGAGAGACCAGAGAGAGACCAGAGAGAGACCAGAGAGTGACCAGAGAGAGACCAGAGAGAGACCAGAGAGAGACCAGAGAGAGAGCAGAGAGAGACCAGAGAGAGAGACCAGAGAGAGACCAGAGAGAGCAGAGGGTCTGATCTCTTTAAGCAGCAGTTGTTGGTGGCTTCACTTTGAGTCAAATTTAATAGAAAATGGAAAAATGTTGAGGTTAAGCAGAACATAGATGCCCCGTCTCAGAGAACAAAGTGTGTGTGTGTGTGTGTGTGTGTGTGTGTGTGTGTGTGTGTGTGTGTGGTGTGTGTGTGTGTGTGTGTCTGTGTGTGTGTGTGTGTGTGTGTGTCTGTGTGTGTGTGTGTGTGTGTCTGTGTGTGTGTGTGTGTGTGTGTGTGTGTGTGTGTGTGTGTGTGTGTGTGTGTGTGTGTGTGTGTGTGTGTGTGTGTGTGTGTGTGTGTGTGTGTGTGTGTGTGTGTGAGAGAGACAGAGAAAAGTCGATCAGTGCAGAAACAGCGGCTGCAGGTGGTTCTTCAGGTTCATTTACTGCAGTCAGCGAAACTCTCTCTCTTTGAACTGAGTCCGAGTCTAATAAACGGATTATTACATTTATGAAGATCTGAGGACAGTGATCCGCCTGCTCCTTATAGTCTCTGTCTGATTCTCTGTTTGATTCTCTGATCTGCTGTTGGCGAATCCACAACTTTGTGAAATCCCCAGAAACGAGTGCTGCTGTGGTTTAGGGTGAGACACAAATATATTGAACTCACTGTTTTAGTTCAGAGGTCTGTGGTTGTCTCTTTGGTCTCTCTTTGGTGTCGCTCTGGTCTGGCTCTGGTCTCTCACTGGTCTCTCTGGTCCCTCTAGTCTCTCTCTGGTCTCTCTCTGGTCTCTCTCTGGTCTCTCTCTGGGCTCTCTCTGGTCCCTCTGAGCTCTCTCTGGTCCCTCTCTGGTCTCTCTCTGGTCTCTCTCTGGTCTCTCTCTGGTCTCTCTCTGATCTCTCTAGTCTCTCTGGTCTCTCTCTGGTCTCTCTCTGGTCTCTCTCTGGTCTCTCTCTGGTCTCTCTCTGGTCTCTCTCTGGTCTCTCTCTCTTGTCTCTCTCTGGTCTCTCTGGTCTCTCTGGTCTCTCTCTGGTCTCTCCCTGGTCTCTCTCTGGTCTCTCTCTGATCTCTCTCTGATCTCTCTCTGGTCCCTCTCTGGTCTCTCTCTGGTCTCTCTCTCTTGTCTCTCTCTGGTCTCTCTCTGATCTCTCTAGTCTCTCTGGTCTCTCTCTGGTCTCTCTCTGGTCTCTCTCTGGTCTCTCTCTGGTCTCTCTCTGGTCTCTCTCTGGTCTCTCTCTGATCTCTCTCTGATCTCTCTCTGGTCTCTCTCTGATCTCTCTCTGGTCTCACTCTGGTCTCACACCCCAGTCCTTCTTAAACTCCTCCAGATTCCAGAGTTTTCCCGTGGTTCGTCCCGTGGCCCTTCCCCCGGGCGGCTGTGGCGTCTGACCTTTGGCGTCCTGCTGCCAGCGCCGCAGACCTCGCTCTGATGTATGGAGGCCATTTTTAGCCGCGCCACTTGTTCGTGAGCGATGGAACTACAGCTCTCTCTATTTGCAGAAGGAGCTGAGGTGTGTGTGGGGGGGAGGAGGGGGAGGAGGGGGAGGAGGAGGGAGGGGGAGGATCGATCGGGGGGAGGCACTTTGTCAAAGCCCAGGGACAAGACGTGAGACAATGTGGAGATTGGAGGCCATTGCTCTGTTTCTGGTCCTTCCATCGTTTGTTATGAGTTCAACATTCTCTGGGAAAGAACCCAAAGAGTCACAATCTGATTCTGAGAGAGACCAGAGAGACCAGAGAGAGACCAGAGAGAGACTAGAGAGAGAGAGACCAGAGAGAGAGAGACCAGAGAGAGAGAGACCAGAGAGAGACCAGAGAGAGAGAGACCAGAGAGACCAGAGAGAGACCAGAGAGAGACCAGAGAGAGACTAGAGAGACCAGAGAGAGACCAGAGAGAGACTAGAGAGAGAGAGACCAGAGAGAGCGAGACCAGAGAGAGACCAGAGAGAGACCAGAGAGAGAGAGACCAGAGAGAGACCAGGGAGCGACCAGAGAGAGAGAGACCAGAGAGATCCGGGAGAGACCAGAGAGAGAGAGACCAGAGAGAGACCAGAGAGAGACCAGAGAGAGAGAGACCAGAGAGAGACCAGAGAGAGACCAGAGAGAGACCAGAGAGAGACCAGAGAGAGACCAGAGAGAGACCAGAGAGAGCCCAGAGAGAGACCAGAGAGAGACCAAAGAGAGAGACCAGGGAGAGACCAGAGAGAGAGACCAGAGAGAGAGACCAAAGAGAGACCAGAGAGAGACCAGAGAGAGAGACCAGCGAGAGACCAGGAACTAATATCTTGAAAACCAGTCTTGTTGTTTGCGGTCTGTAAGTTACATGCACCAGGTATAACATTGGCCTTTGAGCCTGAAGGTCATGGGTTCAAGTCCACCACAAAACCTTCTCCACTGACTCCATTGCTGTCGTTGTGTCCTTGGGCAAGAAACTTACATTTTACTAACATTTTCTCCATAAGTGTATTCATGAAACTGAAACTACCCACTGTGGGACCTTCTCTCTCATTCTGTAAACAGGAGTGAGATGTGTCTTGCCCAAGGGCACATTGACAGTATGCAAAAACCAAGATGTTTTGATAGAAAATGTCCAAATCAGAAGCTAATTGTGAAACATAAATGCAAATCAAAGACGTTTCCTTCACTAATGTCTTTAGGATTCTAATGTATGAGCGTCTAACTAGGACCCGGGAGACGAGACCAGCGAGACCAGCGAGACCAGCGAGACCGAGCGAGATCGAGCGAGAGCCTGAAATATGAACTAAGGACAAATATGAAAAACATGTGGATCATGAAATCCCAGAGGTCTGAGTCTGAACCAGGAGGAGGAGAGGAACCAGGAGCAGGGGAGGACTGATGGTTTAATCCGTCTCTGTATGGACTACAGGTGAGAAAACATACAACTGTCTGGTCTCTCTCTGGTCTCTCTCTGGTCTCTCTCTCTGGTCTCTCTCTGATCTCTTTCTCTGGTCTCTCTCTGGTCTCTCTCTGGTCTCTCTCTGGTCTCTCTCTGGTCTCTCTCTGGTCTCTCTCTGGTCTCTCTCTGGTCTCTCTCTGGTCTCTCTCTCTGGTCTCTCTCTGATCTCTTTCTCTGGTCTCTCTCTGGTCTCTCTCTGGTCTCTCTCTGGTCTCTCTCTGGTCTCTCTCTTGTCTCTCTCTGGTCTCTCTCTCTGGTCTCTCTCTGATCTCTTTCTCTGGTCTCTCTCTGGTCTCTCTCTGGTCTCTCTCTGGTCTCTCTCTGGTCTCTCTCTGGTCTCTCTCTGGTCTCTCTCTGGTCTCTCTCTGGTCTCTCTCTGGTCTCTCTCTGGTCTCTCTCTGGACTCCTTCTCTGGTCTCTCTCTGGTCTCTCTCTAATCTCTCTCTGGTCTCTCTGGTCTCATTCTGGTCTCTCTCTGGACTCCTTCTCTGGTCTCTCTCTGGTCTCTCTCTGATCTCTCTCTGGTCTCTCTCTGGTCTCTCTCTGGTCTCTCTCTGGTTTCTCTCTGATCTCTCTCTAGTCTCTCTCTGGTCTCTCTCTGGTCTCTCTCTAGTCTCTCTCTGGTCTCTCTCTGGTCTCTCTCTGGTCTCTCTCTGGTTTCTCTCTGATCTCTCTCTAGTCTCTCTCTGGTCTCTCTCTAGTCTCTCTCTAGTCTCTCTCTGGTCTCTCTCTGGTCTCTCTCTGGTCTCTCTCTGATCTCTCTCTGGTCTCTCTCTGGTCTCTCTCTGATCTCTCTCTGGTCTCTCTCTGGTCTCTCTATAGTCTCTCTCTGGTCTCTCTCTGATCTCTCTCTGGTCTCTCTCTAGTCTCTCTCTGGTCTCTCTCTGGTCTCTCTCTGGTCTCTTTCTCTGGACTCTCTCTAGTCTCTCTCTGGTCTCTCTCTGGTCTTTCTCCGGTCTCTCTCTGGTCTCTCTCTGGTCTCTCTCTGGTCTTTCTCCGGTCTCTCCCTGGTCTCTCTCTGGTCTCTCTCTGGTCTCTCTCTGGTCTCTCTCTGGTCTCTCTCTGGTCTCTCTCTGGTCTCTCTCTGGTCTTTCTCCGGTCTCTCTCTGGTCTTTCTCCGGTCTCTCTCTGGTCTCTCTCTGTAAACCCTAACTTCAATTGTACTTCAGATATCAAAGTTATTTTAAATAGATATTTCCCAGTAAGTAAATATTACTCATTTATTGTTAGTTTATTTAAAGCTTGGCTATATCACTCAGGGTTTTCTTTGAATTGAACTGTTTCTGTTCAAGTAAGCCTCACTTTTGACGTTTTGACGTGTAGAGTCTTTAATGAGGCAGGTGTGACAATGGCAGAGTGGCTTGGTGGCTGAGTGGTTAGCACCATTACCTCTCAACCACAGGGTTCTGAGTATGAATCCCGGTCAGAGCACAAGCAGAAATTTAAACTTTATTGCAATCACTTGGGTTACTTGGTAATATCAAGTAAAGGATGTACTTGAGGAATTCAAGTGAAGTTAATACGCAATTTATTTCCATGGTTTTTTCAAGTAAACTTTACTTGTCAGGGTTTACAGCATGGTCTCTCTCTGGTATCTCTCTGGTCTCTCTCTGGTCTTTCTCCGGTCTCTCTCTGGTCTCTCTCTGGTCTCTCTCTGGTCTCTCTCTGGTCTCTCTCTGGTCTCTCTCTGGTCTCTCTCTGGTCTCTCTCTCTTGTTTCTCTCTCTGGTCTCTCTCTGGTCTCTCTCTGGTCTCTCTCTGGTCTCTCTCTGGTACAATGGCAGCTGCAGGAGGGGTGCGGTCACAGGCGATCCAGGCCACGGGACGTCCTACACAGAGACACATCTGTGAGAGAGGTCCCCGAAGGCAACACACACACACACACACACACACAAACACACACAGACACACACAAACACACACACACACACACACACAAACACACACAGACACACACAAACACACACACACACACACCTGGACACTGACAGCTGTGGCCTCGGTCTGACAGACAAATATGACAGCTACACTCTAAATTTCTCTCTGGTCCCTCTCTCTGGTCCCTCTCTCTGGTCCCTCTCTCTGGTCCCTCTCTCTGGTCTCTCTCTCTGGTCCCTCTCTCTGGTCTCTCTCTCTGGTCCCTCTCTCTGGTCCCTCTCTCTGGTCTCTCTCTCTCTCTGGTCTCTCTCTCTGGTCTCCCTCTGGTCCAGGGGTGCTCACACTTTTTCAGCATGCGAGCTACTTATAAAAGGATCAAGTCAAAATGATCTACCTACTACAAAAATGCAAATCATATATTTCAAAAAATATTCTTTATATCTACAATGTATGTTTATGTACATGCAAAACCGCATGAGCCAATATAGCACAACACAACACAATTACCTATGTACATTTTTTGTCATTACCCGAGTTTACTCTTATGACTTGCACTGAATTGAATCGGCCAGGGATGCATAGTCCGGAAAATTGGTGGTAACTCGCTGACAAGTTTGTCGTGGTTTTGCTTTCCTGCACTGAGCGCGG